CTGCAAAACACAAAAACCAGGACTGAGAGGGACTGAACCAGGACTAAGACAAGACTGAGCCAGGACTAATCTAGGATCATGATGTCTACAATGGCCAGAGTCTAACACATGAAATCCTTCACATCTGAAAAACAAACAGGCAAAATCAGGACTAATCCAGGACTAAACCAGGATAAAGCCTGGACTGAAACAGTTGTTTTTAGAACATAAACTCAACACTGAGGACTGAGCCTGGGCTGAGCCATGACTGAACCAGGACTGAGTCAGGACTAAACTAGGATCATGATGTGTACAATGGCCAGAATCTAACACATGAACTCCTCCACATCTGGAAAACCAACAGGGAAAATCAGGACTAAACCAGGAATGAACCTGGACTGAACCAGGACTGAACCAACTGAACACCAAATTTGCAAAGTGTCTTTCCTATGGACATAACAACAACAGTATGAATTTTGGAAGATGCAACGACCAACCTGCAACCACCATGACTTCTCCACAAAAGTATCAGCAAAATATAAGACAACAAAACTGAACAAATGAACACAGTGTACGTTCTAGATTCAAACCAGAGTGAATTCAAAGGGCTGTAGATCTTTGATGGTAAGTGTCAGTTACTCGGTTGATGGTGTCTTAGACCAAAATGTGAATTAAGCCCTTTTCTCAGGGGATTAGTACGACCTGTGGACCTTTGATGATTTATAATAATTGTGGAGGATGTCTGAGATCTTAATCCCGTGCGAATGCGTCAAGTCTGTAATTTGTAAAGTAAAAATTCCACTGTGCATTACCTACGATATTTCTCCAAACACGGACGTCCGGTGATAATACCAGTCCCATGCAAATCTGCATCTCGGTGTTGTGCCTTTTCTGTTGCTTTCTTTTCTTTCCGCGTTCTTTTCTCTTTCAATATCTGGTCATGTCAGTAAAATCGAGTAATTTACGGACTTTGTTTATCCCATGTGAATTCGCTCCAAGTTACACAGAGGTGGGGAGGTAATTTGCAAATTGCCAGACGTTTCCAGGTTGTACGTATCCCGTGCGAATAGGACTTTAGACCCCCCCCCCCCCAAAAAAAAAAAAAAAAAAAAGAAAAAAAAAAAAAAAATACTGCAAAAACAAATATGCCAAATTCCACAGGGCAAGAGGTCAGCAGTTCATGTAGGAACAAAGTGCTTCTGCCACATTTAAGATTACAAACAAAATCCCTAATTGCATACATAATAATTTAACTGTAAAATAAAAGAAATAAAACATATTTCCTTCTTTTCATTCATAAATAAAACAACTCAATTCAAGCTCATCTTTGCATTAACTCTGTTATTCATACTATAACCAGAACCATGAGCACCTTCAGCAGAAGAAGATCGGGAGGTTCCTTATTTTAACAGATCCATGTTCCTCACCAGTGTAAGGAGCTATGAAGTTTCCCACAATCCACTGCAGATCAAACCCAATGTTTCCAAACACTGTTGTACAAGTGACACTGCAGCAGATTCATTAAATCAGAATTCAAATCTGCACAAATAAACTTTACACGACTAAACTTTACAACTTATAAACCATAAAGCCTCTAGAGCCACATCAGCCCATGTGAGGTTATCATGTGTTTAATGCAGTTTTGTGCACATGTGTTTACATTTTACAGAAACAAAACTTAAAGCCACATGCCTCATTTGCATAAACAGCTCACTCCTTGTGCTGCTGATGCGGTTCAGCTTCATCTGGACTAAAGGACACGAGTCTGTTCATATGAGTGTTCTCTCTGTGACAGAGGATGTGCTGCTGATGGTCTTATCTGTGAATGGGGGAAAAGGTTTGTGGTGCAAGAAGCTTTTCCTGGTCCCAACGTTCGGCCTTCACGGCGGCAGTGACGAGGGAAAGAGACACAAGCGAGCAAAATCATGGAGACGAGGGCGAGCGCAGAGAAGACAAACAAGCAAAGCGGCGAAACCAAAATTTAATATAAGCATTATATTGATATAGACGATATGTCAGAATCCATATCAAGTTTAAAAAATATCTCGATATATTTAAACTATCGAGATATCGCCCACCCCTACACTGAATCTGTCTTTATATAAACACATTGTTTCCAAGGGTTCTGCATAAGTAGTAGTTTTTTTTTTTTTTTTTTTTTTCTGTGAACTCCCCCTGCAGGTGTAGTGTTGTGAGTGCACTTTGGGTTCGGGAATGGTTTGAGAGCTTTTGCCACGCCGCCTTTTTTATCATCCAATCAACTGGCAGCACGTCTTTAGTCCAACAAGAATTTCTTTAGTCGCCTACAGGCCTAAAAACGGGTATATTTATTGCAAAATGCAGGACGGTGTATTGCACAGAGTTGACAGGAGCAGGGCTGACAGGTGCAGGGTTGTCAGGTGCATAGTTGCATGTTGACGTTGCCTTTGTACTTGAGCCCTTGTGCCAGTCTTGGTTGGTTTCACCTTTTGGCTCCGAGTCATGACAGGAAGAATGTGATAAAAAATAATAAATGAACTCATGATTCAAACTCATCTAAATCCCTCCAGGAAATGTGTTTCATCCACTGTAACAACCCGCCTCAACCACAGGGGGCAGCGCAACACGTCTGAGCCACAATCCTGCTCAGGAGGGAGGCAAACGGGCTAACCACTCTGCCACTAAACCAGGACTGAACTAGAACTAGACCAGTACAAGGACTGAACCAGGACTGCACCAGGAAAGGGGCTCAACGGGGACTAATACAGGACTAAACCAGGACTAAGCCAGGACTGAATCAGGACTAAACTAGTACAAGGACTGAATCAGGACTGAATCAAGACTGAACCAGGAACAGGACTCAAGAGGGACCAATACAGGACTAAACTAGGACTGGATCAGGACTAAACTAGAATTAAAACAGGACTAGACCAGTAAACCAGGATTAAACAAGGACTGTATTAGGAACAGGACAGAACAAGGACTAAACCGGGACTGAATCAGGACTAAACAAGAATTAAAACAGAACTAGACCAGTAAAAGGACTGAACCAAGACCAGGACTTAACAGGGACCAATACAGGACTAAACCAGGACTAAACTAGGTCTGAATCAGTACTGCACCGTAACTGTGCCAGGACTAAACAGTGATTAAAACTGGACTAAACCAGGTCTGTATCAGGATTAAACTAAAATTAAAACAGGACTAGACCAGTAAACCAGGATTAAACAAGGACTGTATTAGGAACAGGACTGAACAAGGACTAAAGCAGGACTAAAGCAGGACTAAACTAGGACTGAATCAGTACTGCACCGTGACAGTGCACAGGACGAAACTAGAATTAAAACAGGAATAAACCAGGACTTTATTAGGACTAAACTAGATTTAAAACAGGACTAGACCAGTAAAAGGACTGAACCAAGAACAGGACCCAACAGGGACCAATACAGGACTAAAGCAGGGCTAAACCACAACTGAATCAGGACTAAACTAGTAAAAGGACTGAACCAGGACTGAACCAGGAACAGGACTCAACAGGGGCCGATACAGGACTAAACCAGGACTAAACTAGGACTGAATCAGTACTGCACTGTAACTGTGCCAGGACTAAACTGGAATTAAAACAGGACTAGACCAATAAAAGGACTGAACCAGGACTGACCCAAGACTAGGACTCAACAGGGACCAATACAGGACTAAAACAGGTCTGAATCAGGTCTAAACCAGACTTAAAACAGGACTAGACCAGTAAAAGGACTAAACCAGGAACAGGACTCGACAGGGACCAATACAGGACTGAAACAGTACTGCACTGTAACTGTGCCAGGACTAAACAGTGATTAAAACAGGACTAAACCAGGTCTGTATCAGGAGCAGGACAGAACAAGGACTAAACCAGGACTAAACCAGGACTAAAGCAGGACTAAACTAGGACTGAATCAGTACTGCACCGTGACAGTGGCAGGACTAAACTAGAATTAAAACAGAACTACAAACCAGGATTAAGGACTGCACCAGGAACAAGACAGAACAAGGACTAAACCAGGACTAAACTAGGATTTAACCAGGACTGAACCAGGATTAAAGGGGGACTGTTTTAGGACTAAACCCGGACTGAACCAGGACTAAACCAGGACTAAAGGAGGACTGTTTCAGGACTAAACCTGGACTGACCCAGGACTACACCCTCTGAGAATAAAGCTGAACTCATGTCTGCTAATGTGTGATCATAAGAGGATATTTATCAGGCCGTGGCTTGTCCGTCTCTCGCTCCATCTCTCATCCCCCCTTCTTTACAGCTCTCCGTCTCCCCCTCTCTCCCCCTCTTTCCTCCTTTCCTCAGTTTCACTCTCACTCCCTCTCTCCTCCTCTCTCCTCATTCTCTCTATCCATCTTTCATCTCCCCAGTCTCCCCTCCTGTCTCTTTTCCCCTCTCTTACCTTTCTCTCCTCTCCCTTCTCCCCCCTCTCTCTCTTTCACAAACATTCTTTCATTCTGTCATCCTCTCGTTCTTTCATTCATCCTTCCCTCGCTCACAGACACAGCGCAAGTCCGTACAGAGCTGGAATCCAAACCAAAACTAAAGACACTGACTGGACTCATGTGTGTGAGCGGTGAGCGCCTGTGCTCCTGCAGGACGCACACTAACGCTCCAAACTTTTACAACAACACACTTTTCCCACTTTTTTATTGTTGATCAAAAAAGTATTCTCAACTTTTGATTGATGTGTGTGTCCACCTTTGGCAGATAGAACAGCTGAACACACTTGTGACTCGTTCTTTTTACAATAGAAATCAAATCTTCTTCAGAAAGTTCTTCCCCAAGTCTGTTGCAGAAGTTCCATAAATGTGTGACACTTGGGCCTGGTCAAGCAGAAGTAAACAACAAGGCCAAACATTCAAGTTAATGCATCTGATATAAAAATGTATTGAACAGATACATATGTACTCTAGTTCAATTTTTGGTTCTAAAGTTCCATACGTTTTAAACAGACCATGTATGAAACATGGAACAAAAATTATTTCCCAAATTTCAAAGGCCT